TGTGGTGGAATGTGGCGTGCTGCTGGACGGGCAAAAACCGGCCGTCCCTGATGGCCAACTAATGTCGCCCCCTACCCACCTCGGCGCCGGCCGCTCTCGGCCCCGGCTGGCCATTGCACACCGCACCACGCGCTCGTTTTGTCACTCACTCCACTCCATCAATTTAAAACCGACCCCCCTATATATCCCCGACCCCGACCCTGGCCACTCCACTCCCCCTACTCCCCCCTGCTCCAGATTTTGCACGCGTTACTGCCTTTATTTCCCCTCTTTTTCGATTTCGGCGCGCAAACATTTGCGCAGCGTGTTCATACCGCAAGGCGGGTGCGGTGCGCTGCCGACGTACACAATAACTTCCAGTCAAAAGCCCTCGGCAGGACCGACCCCATCCTCTGGAAACTAAACCTCAGTCGGGCCAGCATCCCCCGCCGCTTCTGTTCCTTCTTGGGGCTTCTAGGAGGGGCTGCGTTGCGCTCCCCTACTCTCTCTCTCTCTACCTTCCTCTGTCTTTCTTTTGTTTTTTGTTTCGTTTTCTTCTCTTTCCTTCGTCGTACGACTCGCAGCGGCTGAGCCGACGCCGCACCGCGACCCTCGGCGTTTATTTCGGCGGAAAGTTGGCTTCGGAAAGTAATTCGATTTGTTTCTCGCAGGGGTATGGGGAGCAGGGGACGGAGAACAGGGCGAGGTGAGGTGGAGATGGGGGAGGGGGGAGGGGAGCAGCCAGTGGTAGTGGGAGCGAGAGATTGTTTGGGATGCGAGGGCGCCTGGCAGGTATGCAAGCCCGCTGGACAGGGCTCCGTAGCGGGCTGGCCCGCGCTGCCAGGCGCTCTGTGCCTGGCGCGGACAGCAGGCCGCCGCCCCCTACCCCGCCTCGCCCAGCCTTCCCACCTCCCCCCACCCCGCCCTGTCCCTGTACCAGCCTGCCTGTTATGAACAAAGGAGACCATCAAATCATCCCTTTCCACCCTCTACAATTATTTGATTTTCTTGAGGCTCGTTTATTGTGTAGGTGGTGTAGAGTGGCAATTTTATCTATTTTTTTTATTTTTGACTAAAAGAGAAGCACAGCTTTTGTAAAACGAAAAGTTGTTGGTATTAATTGACAATATTGTTGTTACCTTGCCATGGCACTGCACAAAATTGTTTGGCAAGTAACAAAACCCTCCCTGAAAGAGCGCCGTTTGAGGCGGGCACTGCTAGAGGTATTGTGGGTAACTGTTCTGGTCGTGAAGCATTTACAGAAAATGTGTTGAGTGAGACATGCGGAGGAAGGGGAGGAGAGGACAGTTGGAATGAGTTTTGTGTCGACGGGGTAGAAATGGCGTACGGGGGGGGGGGGGGCACAAGGCCGGCGCCCTTGGCCGGGTTGGCGTGGCGGTCCGCGAAGCGCGTGCCAAGTGTTCCCTTTCACTAAGTCCTCTGCCGACCCACCTCCAGTTTCAAACGGATGGACGGCCTTTATACTCACCAGAGTCGCATTAGTACAGGCGTTATTTAGGATTATTGCCTCGGTAGAGGGATTGCTGGGCCCAGTCCCGCGATCCCAGTCATGTCAAAATAATTAACGCGCGCTTATTCCCCGTAAATTTAGAGATGGGAAAAGAGAGCAATCGCAAAAACGAAACGCGCTCCTGCAATTTTACAATCGGTTCTGATGGATATTGGCTTTTGAAGGGGATGCGAGGGAGACTAGCGGAAAGTGGATTGGGTTGGTTTGGTTGGCTTCACATACATATGCCAAGAGCACACACCGTGTGCGAAACGAGAGCGAGGGATGCGATAGACTGCTGAGAGAGAGAGTGAGAGAGAGAGAGAGAGAGAGAGAGAGAGAGAGAGAGATGGAAAACGCGCTCGCGTTGGAGCCATATAGCGCAGCCGTCAGCACTAAGCGGTACTCTCACAGCCCGGCCGGCCCGGCGGGGCGGGGTGGGCCCGCGTGTAGGCCCGGCGCGGCAGCAGCCACAGCCAGGCGCCCTGTATATCTGTATTGATGCCCCGGCCTGTGACAAGCGATTGCGGGACCAAATCGGATCCCCGTGCTGGGGATATTGCGCTCGCCGTTGGAGCGAAGCACGAGGACCTGTGTGTGTGTGTGTGTGTGTGATGCCCATAGTGCACCGTTTGCGGGGAAAGCGCGCGCTCTCACTGCCAGCCAAGTGCACAAGCTCAAGTTTAATATGCGTAACGTGACGGGAAAGGGTTTGTGTTTTGAAGCCCCGTTGTTACAAAAAGCGCCCCCTTTCTTTGCATGAACTTGGCCTTGGTTCTTCCGGAGAGTGTCCGCCGCAGAGTCTAGCGCAGCGCGTGGCAGCTTCCTAGGGAGAGGGAACGGGGAGCTCTTTGAGGTCGCAAAGAACGAAAACATTTGCTTGGTCAATACGCCTGGTGCCCGGCTGGTGCCCGGCTGGTGCCCCAGCGGCGCCCCCGCGCACGTGGCCCTCTCCGGGCGCCCGTCCCGTCCCCCCTGCAGGGACAGCCAAGCGCGCGCCTAACCACCCAGGCCTCCCTAATCTGGTCCATCCATTTCTAGGCTAGAGGCCCCGGTATATTTTGTCCAAATGGTGGGCTTGTTGCGGAGGACGGGGGCCAGAAATACAGGTACATCTCCCTGGTAACAGAAGCACAAATAATTTGTATTTATGTATTTTGAAATAGTTTGGTATGCCTTCAGTTAAAAATGGCCAAAAAGGAAGTTCATGAATGGGCGCAGTAAAAAATAACTCTTGATCCATTTGGATTGATTGCAGGCACTCTTACTTTCGTTGTCACCCTTTTTGTCCCTTACTCAGGCGTGAATTTTTTCCCCCCGGGAGTGTCGAACACGTTCCCTCTCGGGGCACGTCCTGCACAAACGAGGCGACCCACAGACTCGACCCGCCCGGCCGCGCCGCGCAGCGCCTCCCCCACCCC